ATTAATTTGTTATTCCTGTGCTAAACAATCTCTTGGGCTGTGTTTCTTCTAAACTCAGGGCAATAATTATTAAAAATCAGTTAAATTGGGTTGCAGTTCTTCCTCTGACTTGTGTGAATTTTTCTATTAATTTTCATTTTTGCTCTACTTTAAAATAAGCAGGGTTCAATTTATGACATAAGTAATACAATTTTATACCCTCAAGTTTTAAATATCTTAGAGTTTTATTTATATTTTTCTACCTTTATTCCATTTTCCTCATATTATCAAGACCCTAAATTTCAAGGAAATGCTTCTCTAAAAAACTGACTCTTTTAATCTGTAATCTTCACTATCCTTGAGTTAATGAGAATTTTCTAGGACACCCCCCCCCCACCCCCAGTAAAAATGAGTGATGGAGAGTATTTTATATTAATCATTTTGTCTTCATGAATGTCCTTTGAAATGAATTGCTCACTCTAAGATTTTCAAAGTTTAAAAATGATAGACAGATATATAACAAAACCTTGGGGACATAATCAAACTAGGGTTTTTGGTCATAAAAATTTGAATATTCTCTGAAAAAATTTGAATATTTTCTTTTTTAAAGACTTAAGGAACACCATTTTTTGAAAAGAGAATAAATTTAATTTTTTAATTAAATCCAAAATTTTTATTATACTGTTACTATATTACTTATTTCCTCCAAAATTTCCATCATATAGTTCTTGAATTGTATTAAGTTGGATGAATTTCTAGGCAACTGAAATAGATTTACTTTTTCCCAACTGATAAAGTTTACTATATAGTGAAGTTAAGTTGTAAACATTCTTAGAAGTAGTGTCCATATTGTCAGCATTTTGTAAATTGAACCCTGTTTAGTCGTATTAACGTTGGCTGATTTAGCACCTCTGGTCATTTTTTAAATAAGGTGGTTTATTCTTGGGCAAAGGACTCTTCATTTGTGGAGAATCAATTATTTTACCTCTTTGTATTTCTGGGATTTTAGTGAATCAATGGGTAATAGTTAAATCATTTAAATTATGTACTAACACTACAGCGTAATACTTTTCAGCAAATTTTCTTTATAATATGTTCTATCTTAATATTTTAGAGCTTATTTACTGTTATATAATGTAAATAGTTACAAGGGACTTTGCTACAAATAATTTACCAAAGAACTTTTAAAATTTTGTTACCTAGAAATTTTACCTTGCATGAAAGTGACTGTACATAATTAAATTTTTGGAATAATTTCTATGTCTGATTTTTTATTCTGGGGTTATATTTCCTTTGTTAAATATAATGACTGCCTTTCATTTTCCCCCGTATTTTGAATGGAATATGTATCATGGAATATCTGAGCTTGAATATTTGAAAGACATCATTTAACAAATTTATTAGGACTGAGAACATTATTGAAAGGATACTTCTTTGATAATGGTCTCACTTTATTTTTATGTTATTAGCAAGTTTTTCTTTTTGTCATGCCAGTTTTTATAGTTATATTCATTGGGAAATGTTAACCTTATTTATCTTTTCAAGCTTTGTTGGTTATGCAGTTATACATAAGTTATTTTTTTACCTTCAGAAACCACTGTTAAATCTTCTATTTTACATATAATTTTGGTTTTGGTTGGAATCTCTCAGTGTCTTTTTAATCCCAAGATATACCCCAAGGTATATAGAAGAAAATCTCACTTCTAAATTTGTTCTTCATTCAAATGGAGCCTGCCTATTTTATACTATAAAGTTTTGCCATTTAAAAAAATGACACAATTTATCTCCCTACTTTTACGTCAAGTTTTGTAATAAGACTTAGCATAAGATATACTATTGAAGAAACACATAACATGTCAATGAAACATTGGAAAAAAATTCATAGGATTGCCTGAAGACCTCTCTATGGAAATGTGTTTTCCATGAGAATCTTATAGTGTCAGAAGTGTTAAGACTCCTTGGGCATTCTGAACTCACTGTCCTATCATCCAATTTCATACTTGCTCTGTAGTATCTTGAATCTCATAAAATGATCACCTCTCTCTTTCTCAATCTACAAACATTTATAGCTTCAGCTTTAGGCAATTATGCAGTGGCCTAATAAAGTAAGGCATAAGAATTAAGCCAAGAACACCCGAGGTTGACACTGGTAAGAGAACCACTCTGTGCAAAAGGCTGACAGAATATCTTGGCTCTGAAAATTTGTCCCTTAGTTTCACCTACTCTTTGAAAGTAACGGCAGTTGCTGTCATGCTGGAGAGGGTAGGGAGAAAAGAGTGGGTTGCAGAATGCCATTCTCGCTTTAACAGTCTAACTCAAGCATGGAAAATGAACCCTGTTTTTACTGCCTGACATTCAGCTGAGGTAGCTGAGATGACAACAATAATTTTTAAAAAAATATACTTAGCAATTAATTTAATTTACTCTGTAACTTGTTTTTTTCACCCTATTTGACAAATGAGGAAACTTGAGAGGTAGAGCTTAAGTAATGTATCTATTGTTACACAACTAGCCAGGATTTACACCCAAGTAGTTTGACTCTACTTTTTGTACTCTTCGACACTATACAACCTTACTTCTTAAGACAATTTATTGAACGATTCAAAAACAAATCTATTGTGTGATTTGCAACTAGATCTTCTGGTTATGGCCCTGTTCTATCGGCATGGCTCGTATTAGATTCTGTCCTAGCACCAGATTATGGAGGCCATCTTGGTACCCATCACCCAAACATAATGTACAGTGTCTGGAAGTCTACTTTCCTCGAAGACCAGACTCAAAGGAAAGTAGAGCAAACAGTACAGTCCCCTAACCCATAGCCTAGCTTCATTGTTCGTTTCTTGACTGATAGCTACGTCAGGTAAATGATACTGACAATGACTTTGTTGTTCGTGCATAAGAGCAGCCTAAGAAGACATAACTTTAGTCTTGTGACTTTAACAGCAAAAATATAGCAGAATGTAATGCAGTTGCAGCATTCCTAAAGAAAGGTACATGCATGTAATACATATCCAGTGATTTGTTTGGCCTATTCATACCTTATGATTAATTTTTGTCAGTAAAATTTTAAAGAACATTTCCAAAGTCAATAACTTTCCTATAGTGTTAGAAATGTCTGTAAGTCATTTAGAAAATAAGATTTGTTACCAATTTTTTATCTGCTCGTTATTTAAATTTTATAAAACTTTGGAAGTATGAAAGTTTGTAAAGCTTTTTGTTATTTAAATTCATATAAAAATAGTCCTAAAATATTTATCTTTGTTAAAGTATTAATCCAGTTTATCATGACATTCTTATGCATAAAATATGATCTAGATGTTTGCTAGATTTTGACTGCATGATTAACCTTTCCTAAAACTTATTAATTCTATTTCATGATGATTCTGTTTTATTCTGAAAGATTTCCAGCTGGATTCTGTAGGCTACAACCCTGCTCATGTCTAATTTTATTACTAATTTTCATATAGAAGAAATGATTACCAAATTGATTACATGATGCTATGAGGGGGAAATAATACTAGAGGTTAAAGAATAAAGATTCAAAAGTATAGTGAGTTGAGTGCTGTGATAAAACAAATAGAAATAATAGCTCTATTTAAGGAAAGGCTTCTAAGTTACACTATACTATGTATTTTTAATATGGCAGTTGTTAATATAATATAGGCAGCATTATATACCTCCAAGGCCCTTTTTATCTTTCAAATTTCGAGTTAGCAATTAATTGGGTAATATTGGATTTTCTTTCTTAGAAAAAATTTTGAAGTTCATAAAATGAAGATAATTTTCATTAGTCCAAGTGCTATTTTTAGTAGTTCTCTTATACATGAATCCCAATGATTTCTTTTTTAAATTAAAGTGTTCTAACTTAAGTTAAATCTGCTCTTTGTCATTATATTCTAAACCACTAACTCATTAATATTATCATTTTAAAGCAGCTCAAGCGCCTTTAATTTTCATGAAAGAAATTGAGTCTCAAGGAAGTTAAATGGCATATCCAAAGTAATGTCCCATAGTAATGACTTAATCAGGACCAGAATCCAGGACTCTTGACAGTTGTTTTATTATAGCTGTCTCCCCTCTCATGGAGTCTTTCTTGTGCGGTCTTCCCAATTCTTTTATATTTAAAAGTTGAAAAACAAATTCTTAGAAGCCCATTTGCAGTTTGCTATATGAATGAAAACTATGTATCAAATTAATTTAGAATTTTAAGTTATAAAATCATTCCAGTTCATTTAAAAACTCAAATTAGTACTGATATTTCTACTTCATATTCCCCAATATTTAATCTAAAATGTGGCTGTTAATGTATAGAAGATTATATTTAATCCACAATATGGCCATTGAAAGAATAAAAGCTCATCTTGAAAGAGAAGACAAGTCAAATGTGCAGTAATGCCATTTTACAGGTAACCTCAATATTTTCTACTTTGAAAGATTATTAGTTACCCTTAGTTGGTCAAGAACTAAATTTCATAGCCACATACTTTAAAACCATTATATAAAACTGAGTCCCTCTAATGAATTCTTTTTCTTTTTCAGGATGACTAAAATCTGAAGAGTATGGCATATTTTGTATTCACATTTTAATTGTATTTCTGATGTATTTTCTGACAAATTTTATAATAAAATCTGCTCAGCAATGTGCTTTATATCCTAGTACTTAACTGTATTGTTTCTCTCTTTATAGAAAATCATCCTTTTCTTACATCAGAAGGATGTACAATGATCTTTTTAAAAATAACTTGCTATTTGTTTTCTAACATAAAGAAAATTAGTCCAGATAAAGTAAGATTATTGAAATAATTTTTTCAACTATTGTTTGAACAGAACTATTAATGTGGCAATTTATGTTCTGCCATTAGTTTGCTATGGCTGCCATAACAAAAATAATATATACT